GCGGCACTCGTACGCCGAGCTCGATACAAAGGCCAAGAGTGCGTTCACGCGCAAATACAACAAGGGCGTGCACAAGTCGCAGGCGCTCGTCGAAGCGAACCTCGCGGCCAACCCGGCCAAGAAGAAGACGTCCAAAAAGGCCGCGGCGGACGACGACGGCCTCGGCGACGACGACGGTCTCATGGCCGACGACGGTGACAATGACGACGACGACGACGATGTGTCGCAGTTTCAAAAGAAAGCGCCCGCCAAAGCCGCGGCCAAGGCGCCTGCGAAGCGGAAGGGCAAGGAGCCCGCGGGGTCGGCGCCCAAGCGCGCGCGGGCACCGGCCAAGAAGAAGTAAACACATGATATACAGTGCTGTAAGAAGAAACGTAGTACGAGAACAAAGTTGATACTTCCTCGTCAACACCGACGTCCTTGAGCCCATGCAGGCACCACGCAGTCATCGAAAAGTCAGAATATGTAGCACTCAAAAGACGTGGTGTACTCGGCGTTATTCCAAGCCCTTGGTCGCAATCGAGCTCAAGGGGACAACGCTTCGAGTTGCAGCTGTTTATCCCAAGCACTACGCAAGCCCATCAGATTACTGAACCATGTTGTCCGAGTACATTCCTAGGGTATACAGTAACAACCTCACCATGCTTCGTGTCCGCGCAGAAAATCATATTCTGTACCGTGCAGCTAGTCTAGTGTTGCACATCTCCCGATACGTGTACACGCCCAAGAAGCTGTGGGCCATCAACGCCGTTGGGGCTGCCGTGGCGGTGACAAAAAGATCGACCCGTTGAGAGGATCCATCTTTTCAGCCAATCCGAGCCCGCCGAATCTAGAACGATCAATCTCCAACTGCCCACTGGACAAAGGGGCACTGTGAGATTTTACTTCGAGCGCCCAAGTCATGGCTCGCTCCGTGCACGACATGCTGCCAACGGAGGGTAGCAGCAGCGATTCGGACTCCGACGTCGTCCTTGCCGTCACACGCCGCACTAGCTCGGGGAGGCTCACGACGGACACGCCGAGCGGACCATTGTGACGGACGCCGCCGAGAAGCCCGCGAGCGTCCCACCGACATTCAAGCGAATGGCGTTGGACGCGTGTGTAGACACGTGCGACATCGCACTCTCGTCCATCGCCCACGACATCTTGGACAACACCTACTTTTCAGGGACTGACGCGACGACGGTCGCGGAGCTGCGTCGCCATATTGCGACGTCTGGCTACGATCGCACTGATAGGATCCGCGTCGTCTTCAAGGACGAGATGTATTTTGTTCTGGACGGCCATCACCGCGTCGCCGCGCTCCGCGAGCTCATGGCGTCGTCCACCACACTCAACCTCGCGACGCCCAGCGACGGCAGCTACTTGGTGCCGGTGGTCGTGTACGAGACGGAGAGAGCGGCCGAGGTAGCCGCTGCTCTCCACCGTAAGCGTTTGATGGCTTATGGCTTTTGAACGCTCGGTAACATGCTAACGCATCTTGCGTTCAAAATAGCAAACATGATCAAAATTGCACACCACAGAAAGCACTCGGAAGCCTCATCTTGCTGCATTCGACGTCCAAGCCAATCGTCGGTCGACATCTTTGGTACCATCTCGGCGTGGTCCCCATGTATTGCTCGCGGGGCATAAAATATGAGTGGTGGCATTGAGCCTCCGTCAGAAAACTACAAGCACGTGAAGATGCGCCTCGGCATGTTGTGCTCGAAGGAGAGCTTCAACACTACCGTACAATTATAATGTACCGGTGGGTCGCTCGCCGTAGAAATGCGAAGCGAACCAACGTGGCTGCGATCTTGTCGACGGCGTTGGCATCGAGTTGCTAGAGGACTCGACGCGAGCAGTGACGCGGCACCAGTACTAGCACTTCTCGGCCAATGGTCCGTGAAGCCATTGCTCGGCGACGTCGACTGGACGCTGGTGGACGCGGAGAGTTTTGAAAAGCTGGACACGACTCTTCCAAGACCCTCTGCTTGCGCCAGGCGATACTATTCTTTCACACGCAGCCTAGGCGGTACACGAACGAGCCCATTTTGTTAGCGTTGGAGGGTTAAGAGACGACGTGCCCCCGCTACCAGATGTCTCTGAATGCGTACTCTCTGAAGGTGCAAACGATGTCTACGAGGCAGACTCGAACCGGTACTTGTCTTCTTCAACGTAGTACTCGTCAAACCCCACATCGGCTTTGATCTAGAATGCAGGAGCTACAGCTTCGGATACACTGGAATGTAGCACCTGGTTGAAGGTCGGCAGTGTCTCGACGGGCGTGTGGCCGTGCGTGCGCAAGTGAGCGAGCGCGCTATTCATGGCCTGGATGCTGGCGCCGAGGATCGTGAGCGGGTACGCGACGAGGTGAAAGCCCATGGCTTTGAGCTCGGCCGCCGGTCGAATCGGCGTCACGCCGTGCTCCAGCATGTTGGCCATGCGCCAGCCCGGCACTTCGCGGCAGATGCGCTTCATTTCATCAACGCTCTGCGGCGCCTCGAGAAACGTGACGTCGGCGCCAAGCCGATGAAACTCGATGCAGCGCGCGATGGCTTCGTCCAGCGAGTGCGTACCGCGCGCGTCCGTTCGCGCGACGAGCACAATGTCACGGCCGCTCTCGCGACGCGCGTCGACCGCCGCTCGAATGCGCGTGAAGGCCTCGTCGCGCGAGACGACCTGCTTCCCTTTGGTGTGGCCGCAGCGCTTGGGCATGACTTGGTCTTCGAGCATGATGCCTGCCATGCCCGCCTGGATGTAGCCTCGGACCGTGCGCTTGACGTTGATCGCGTTGCCGTAGCCCGTGTCGGCGTCGCCGATGCACGGAATGCTCGAGAGCGAGGCGCAGATGCGGCGTGCGGAGGCGACCATCTCCTCGTACGAGATAAGCTGCGTGTCGGGAAACCCGTGGACGGCCGAGACGCCAAAGCCGGTCATAAAGGTGCACTCAAAGCCCGCGCGCTCGACAAGGCGCGCCGAGAGACCGTCGTAGCAGCAAGGAAGCACCACAGGCGTGTCTTCGCGGCTTAGCAAGCGCCGAAGCTCGGTTGCGTCTGCAGGCATGCGTTCGTCAGCGAAATGACACAATACGAGCCAATGAAACGCAAGGAAACCGAGCAATTCGCGATCTTCCGGCAGGGATTGCGCAATCACTTTTGGCAACTTCAACGTGGTCGTGCCAAGCGCCAAGGCGGCGACCAGCACACCATGTAGCTGTAGACGTGTGGAAAGGGTACGAATGGGCAGTGGAACCTTGGCACCATACCGGTTTGAATTGTCGTCGAGAGGTTCAAAGATTCGGGGCTAAGAGGTAAGGGATCTCGGGCCCGATGTTGTCCATGCGTGATGGCGTCGTCGGCTTGCAGCGACGCCACAACCGATTCATGTTGGCGCGTAGAACGCTTTCGGACGGATCCTTGGTCTTGGTAAGCGCCGTATTGGACGCAATATTGGACGCATAGCTCCCATCTCATCGTAAAACTAAACTCGTCTGCACGCAATATCGCAACCTTCTTCCATCAGTCCTGTTCGCTGCCTCCTACGCACCACAGAGCTACCAGAAAATCTTGCGCACCGCTTGGCGAGCGAGGCGGAGGTCTCGATCGATGGTGTGTTTCAACGGTGATTTTTGTCGTTGCACCGAAATCGTGGCTTTCCCGGCGACGTCGTCATTGCCACGGCTCCGTGGCGTGCGACGCGGTCATGATCCAGCAGTATGTGAACGCCACCCGCACTTGTCACGGCTGGATGGCGCTGCACGCGGCTATGCTCCGGCTTATCCAGCGCTGGATCCCACGCGGCGTGGACTCGATCGCTCGTCTTTTGGCGGGTCTGGCTGGCGCCGTCGAGAACGGCATGTGCAAGCTGCTGCGGCAGCGCTCCGAATGCAACTTCTTCTGGACGTATTGGCACAACGTGCTGACCCTCAAGGCGCAGTGGCCTGGTGAGTCGCGGATCGATGAGCACTTTTGAGTGGTACCTCCGTGACGTAGCACCACACAACATCGAGAGCCTCTGGTTTGGCTACCGTCTCCCGCTCGGGTTCGTGGCTGCCATTTCCAACATTCGCTACCCCGTGGGCGAGTACACACTCCTCCTCTCGCGGGAGGCCAGCGTCCAGTGGCGACTGGAACACCTCCCGTACGTTCCTGTCGAGGCTCTCAACATCCAGCCTGCATTGCGCCAAGAGCCATACGTCGATGTGCTGGTTGCGATCCTCCACACGTACGGTGCGCTCGAGCCTCTCCAGTCGCTCGAGCGATTGAGCTCGAGGACCGGCTGCGAACTCTTGCGCTGTATGTACCGCTGCGACGTGGCGCTTTTGAGCAAGATGCAGACGCTTTGTGATGAAGGCGGCATCATCGCGATCTCCAAGTGTGCCGACACAACTCTGTCTGTCCTCAAGGCCAAGATGAGATCCGCGATGGGCCTCTCCAGCAACTTTGCGCCCCTCGTGGTTGAAACGATCGATGCTTTCGTCGCGGCTGCTCCCAAAAAACAAGCCGCTTTGTGGCTGGCTGTCGTGACACTTAGCAACGCCAACGAGTCGGTGCCCCTTGCCGTTGTCGATTCAATGGCCGAGATGGCTAAGCTTGCCGCGATTCGATGGCCAATACCTTCAAGGACGACCACTGCACGTGGTTGTGCAAGTGGCAACGCACTGCCGGGCCACATTGATCGAGCAAGGCGCGCGCCTGCACCCCCTCGACGCCTGTCCTCGACGACATCGAGGTCGACCCGACGTCACGCAACGACTGCATGGGCGTTCGAATTTTTCAACAACGGCGCTGCACGTCGGTGCGAACGAGCGAACGAGGCTTGCAACAAGGTGCTCGCGCTGGCCAGCGCCGACGCCGATCGACTCGAGTTGCAAGAGGCCTCCAACTGCGATGAGTACGAGAACCGTCTTGCTCTCGATGAGGATGACGACGGTATCTGCGCCAACCGCGGGCCCGACGGGTGCTGCAAGTACAAGCTCCGCAATTGGCCCCAGCCAGGCCACACAACCGAGACCGAGTTTGACACGTACGTCGGACAGGGCGGCAGCATGAAATACGTCGCAGTGCTGGACGCTATCCTCGCCGTCACAGCGATGACCGACGCGACGTCAATGACCGACGTGACGGCAATGACCGAGAGCGATGCGCGCACGTTGCGCAAGCGCCCGCGAGACGACAACGACACGTAGCACGCGCCAATAACCCCGAGCATGATTCTCGTCAGTAACTCCGTCCAAGTCCCAATTAATTGTCATTGTGCGTTTTTGTGGACGATATGTCATGGTCTGCACCGCAAGGCTCGTCACTGGGTGTCGACATCGCGTGGAGCACTCGGAGCTTTGGTGAGCACGAGATCGAATAGTGCAGGGCGGCCCTGCGACATGCTCGCTGACAGCTTTGCCAGAAGCACACGAACTTGGTTATAAGACGATGCGAGTTTCACCAACAATCACGTTATCTTTCTAACAAGACACAGACAACGTGTCTCATAACCTACTATTGGATATTCCTCAGCAAAAATGACACACGTCGACTTTGAACCTGAAGCAACATCTTGGTGCGCATCCCTTAGATCCGGGTTGTGCCCATGTATCGTTTTGATTGGCCCGTTTGCATTCCAGTCGATCATAAGCCACCAATCATATGCTTTATATGGTCATATACCCAAGGATATACCCAAGGATATGCTCACGGAGGCACGACCTGCGATTCCCTCTATCGCAGTGCCTGGTAGCCCTACGTACGGCGCAGTGCGAGCATAAATCGTAAATTACTTTACTTCTCTATTCTTTACGGACGACCCCTCTCTAAGCACCTTATCGCCCAGCGATTCCCTTGCAAGAGTGACAGACAGAGTGGTTGTGTCGTATTGTCTATCATGACGATATCTCCTCCGTGCCCTCCCTGGTCTTTTCGCACTGAAATAAGTTCGTTCTTAAGTAGTATTGACGGCCTCAAACGCGTCAAATGTTCACTGCCGACTTCAGTGGCGAGGAACGCAATCGAAAACCTCTCATCATGCATACTACCTGTATAAATCAATACAATGCATTGAAGCTGTGATGACGCCATTTCTAGTTTGTAGTTGGTCGTCGCAGTCGGTCCTCGATGGGAAAACCCCGCGTCTCGTACTTCTACCACCGTCCGTCTCGAAGATGCCAAGTACATACCTTACACTATCTGGTTGTAGCGGAGGAAGGCAACTTTTACTATGGCCCGGGCCACCCCATGAAGCCCCACCGGCTTAAGCTCGCCCACCACCTCGTGCTCAACTACGATCTCTTCCGCAAGATGGAAGTGTTTGTACGTGTCTTTTCTTCTGCACCCGTCACTTTTTCCCGATGTAGCAACCGCACTGGGCGTCACCGGAAGAAATCAAGGCCTTCCACGCCGCCGACTATGTCGATTTTCTGCAGAAAGTGAGCCCGTCGACTGAAAAGTCGATGCAGACCCAAGTCGACAAATGTACGTTCACCTTCTTGCCTCGGATGCTACCTCTTTGTATAGACAACATGGGCGAGTTCTCCGACTGCCCGGTCTTTGATGGCGTCTTCAACTTTAGTCAAATCTCGGCCGGCGGCTCGTTGGGTACCTTCATCCCCTTCGCCTTGGGTCATGCGACAGATACATCGTTCGGTGCGTAGACGCGGCGTACCGCCTCAACCAAGGACTGAGCGACATTTGCATCAACTGGGCCGGTGGGCTGCACCATGCCAAGAAGGCCGAAGCATCCGGCTTTTGCTACATCAACGACATTGTGCTTGGGATTCTCGAGCTCCTCAAGTACCACGCCCGCGTGCTCTACATTGACATTGACGTCCATCACGGCGACGGCGTCGAAGAAGCGTTTTATGTCACGGACCGCGTCATGACGGCGTCGTTCCACAAGGTTTTTTGTGGTTTATCGTCGTCTGGACTGAGGTTTTTCTTCTAGTATGGCGACTTCTTTCCTGGCACTGGCCACGTCAAGGTACAGTAGACGTGAATGCCATGTCGTGGGAGCACAAGGAGATGTGCTAGGATGTC